ATGAATAGAAACAAAACAACCCAGAACAGAAATAATAAGAATGTTGACACATAGTGAAGAATGTAACCAATGTCACTGAACAATTTGTGTAGAAATTGTTGAATGGGAACCTAAACTGCTGTGTGAACCTTCACCCAAAACACAATAAAATATTTTTAAAAATGTGCGCTGAAGGCAAGCTGGAGGAGTCTGAATCCCAGCTCTATCATTTCCTGGCTGTACCTTGAGCTAACAACCTCACCTCTCTGTACCTCAGTTTCCTCCTCTTTAAAACGGGGATAGAAAATAATTGGAACCACCTCAGAAGACTGTTGAAAAATAAATATATGTGCAAAGTGCTTAGAATAGTAATTGCTCAATAATTGTGGACTGTAATTAACAGAGCTTGGGGGCCAGGCCTGGGGGCTACTTCAGTCCACACTGAGAAAGCTGCAGATGGTTCCAGTCTTTCCATACAGCCTAGATCAGTGATTTAGGCAAATTAGTGGCAGGTGACCAGCAAATTTGAAAAACGGAGTGGAATAACAATGGCTAAGCACTACTGGGTGAAGCTTGTTTCTGTTACATATTCTTTGTATATACGTGAGTCCCTCCCCTCTTTATCTGAGGGTTTGCTTACCACCGTTTCAGTTACCCACGGTTAACCGCGGTCCGAAAATATTAAATGAGTAGTGTGATGAAATCTCATGCCTTCCCACTCCGTCCCTCCCCGGACACAATTCACATAACTCTTAGTACAGTATATTGTTATAATTGTTCTAGTTTATTATAAGTTATTGTTTTTAATCTCTGTCTTGGTCATCTAGTACTGCTATAACAGAAATACCACAAGTGGATGGCTTTTAACAAACAAAAATTTATTCTCTCACAGTCTAGTACGCTACAAGTCCAAATTCAAGCCATCAGCTCCAGGGGAAGGCTTTCTCTCTCTGTCGGCTCTGGAGGAAGGTCCTTGTGATGCATCAGTCTTCCCTTGGTCTGGGAGCATCTCAGCACAGGAACCTCAGGTCCAAAGGACACGCTCTGCTCCCAGCACTGCTTTCTTGGTGATATGAGGTCCCCCTGTCTCTCTGCTCACTTCTCTCTTTTATACCTCAAAAGAGATTGGCTCAAGACACTATCTAATCTTGTAGATCTCATCAATATAACTGCCACTAATCCATCTTATTACATCATAGTGATAGAATATACAACACATAGGGAAATCATATCAGATTACAAAATGGTAGACACTCATATAATACTGGGAATCATGACATAGCCAAGTTGACAGCTATTTTTGGGGAACACAATTCAATCCATGACAATCTCTTACTGTGCCTAATTTATAAATTAAACTTTATCATATGCATGTGTAGAAGAAAACATAGTATATATAGGGTTTGGTATCATCCTCGGTTTCAAACATCCACAGGGGGAGACTACTGTATTATATACGCTGAAGGAGCCCTCATGGTGCAACAGTTAAGTGCTCAGTTGCTAACCAAGAGGTTGGCGGTTCAAACCCACTGAGCAGCTCTATGGGAGAAAAGACCTGGCGATCTGCTCCCATAAAAATTACAGTCTAGATCATGGAAGCTCCATAGACACATCCAAACTCCCTGACGGAGCAAATTGCTGGGCTGAGGGCTGTGGTGACCATGGTCTCAGCGAGCATCTAGCTCATTTGGCATAACATAGTTTATAAAGAAAATGTTCTACATTCTACTTTGGTGAGTAAGCGTCTGGGGTGTTCAAAGCCTATGAGTGGCCATCTAAGATACTCCACTGGTATCACCCCTTCAGGAGCAAGGGAGAATGAAGAAAATTAAAGATACAAGGAAAAGATTAGTCCAAAGGACTAATAGACCACAACTACCACAGCCTCCACCAGACTGAGTCCAGTACAACTAGATGGTCCCGGCTACCACCACTGACTGCTCTGACAGGGATCACAACAGAGAGTCCTGGACAGAGCTGAAGAAAAATGTAGAATAAAATTCTAACTCACAAAAAAAGATCAGGCTTACTGGCCTGACAGAAACTGGAGAAACCCCGAGAGTATGGCCCCCAGACACCCTTTTAGCTCAGGAATGAAGTTACTCCAGAGGTTCACCCTTCAGCCAAAGATTAGACAGGCCCATAAAACAAAATGAGACTAGAGGGGCACACCAGCCCAGGGGCAAGGACTAGAAGGCAGGAGGGGACAGGAAAGCTGGTAATAGGGAACCCAAGATCAAGAAGGGAGAGTGTTGACATGTCGTGGGGTTGGCAACCAATGTCATAAAATATGTGTACTGTTTAATGAGAAGCTAGTTTGTTCTGTAAACCTTCATCTAAAGTACAATAAAAAAAATAATAAATCAAAAAAAGAATTACAGTCTAGAAAACCCTGTGGGCAGTTCTACTCTGTCACATGGGGTCAACGATACCTAACAACAACATGTACGTGGATTATATGCAATACATTATGTATGTAAATATGTATCTGTTTAAACAGGCATCCTTCTATATATAAATCTAATCCATTCCAAAAAAGTGTTCAACAGCAAATTGCTGGATAAAGCACTACTTTAAATTCGGAAAATAATGTACTCCAGCTGCATCCAAAAAAACCCCAGCCAATTTCTCCAAGTATAATTAAAACATTCTCAAACACCTATATAACAACTCAAGGATTCTGGCATTAATATACAGCATTTACAACACCAATTACCTAATTATTCAACACTTAATGAACTTATTAGTGGCTGCGTTTGTGTGCAATCTTCAGCAATTCCACATAGAATCTGATAAGAATACATTTTCCTTCCATGCTGCAACAAGCATGGACTATCATTAAATACAGAATAAAAAAGATGTTATAGATACCTGAGAGAGCATTTATAATTGGACCGAGGTTGGTGATACCTCCGGGCACCTGGCAGAAGTCAACACAGGGACCTAAGTAGGGTAAGATAATATCAACAATGTCTAACACGCTTCAGCAATGCGCAAGACAGGCTCCTGTTAGGGGAGCAGGTGAGACATGACTGCGCTCACCCGGGAACTTAAAAACAGTTGCACAACAGGTTTTTTCATTCAAACAGCAAATTTTGGGTTAAAAAAAAAAATGAGCAAGTCATTATTGGGGCTATTTGGATAGTGAGAGTTCATATATCAAAGTTGGTGTCTACATGAAAAACTGTATTTCTTTCTTTTTTAAATTTTTGTTGTTGGTGGTGAGAATATGCACAGCAAAACATACACCAATTCAATGTACAATTCAGTAACACTGATTTCATTCTGAGTTGTGCAACCATTCTCACCCTCCTTTTCTGAGTTGTTCCTCCCCCATTAACATAAACTCCCTGCCCCCTAAGTTCCTATCTAATCTTTCAAGTTGCTATTGTCACTTTGATCCCATATAGATACTTCTTAAAAGAGCATAATGCTCAAGACAGAGATTTTTTACTAGTTAAGCTAAACTATTGTTGGTTTTAAGGAGACTTCAGGGGATATTTTCAGTTTAAGGTTTAAAGATTATCTCAGGGCAATAGTTTCAGGGGTTCATCCAGGCTCCATGGCTCCAGAAAGTCTGGATTCCATAAGAATATGAAATTGTTCTGCATTTTCCCTCTTTTAATGAGGATTCTTGTATAGAATCTTTGATCAAAATGTTCAGTAATGGTAATCGAGCACCGTCCAGTTCTTCTAGTCTCATGGCAAAGGAGGCAGTTGTTCATGGAGGCAATTAGCCACACGTTCCATATCCTCCTCCTATTCCTGACTCTCCTTCCTCTGTTTCTCCAGGCAAATAGAGACAAATTGCTGTGCCTCAGATGGCTGCTTTCAAGCTAGACATTGTATTAGAGTTGTAGGCTAAATTTTTAACTGAAGAATAACATACATAGAGTAAAATGCATACTCACCATCCACATCAAGATCTAGAATGTTTGCTGTATTGTAGAAGGTTCCCTTAGGCTCCTTCCTAGTCAACACGCCCCCTCAGAGGTCACCACTGTTCTGACCTCTCACCATAGACTACTTTAGCCTGTTCTAGACCTTTATACAAATGGAACTGTACAGTGTGTACTTTGTTTTTGGCCTCTTTCACTCAACATAATATTCATGAGATTAGCTCATGTTATTATCAATAGCTAGATTCTTTTCATTGCTGAGTAATCTTCCACTGTATGAATGTTCCAGCTTATCCAAAGGGGTTGTTTCCAAATTTTGGCAATGGATACAGCAGCTATAAACATTTGTGTACAGGCATTTGTGAGAACAGAAGTTTTCATTTCTCTTAGGTAAATATTCAGGAGTGGGGTTGCTGAGTTATATGGTAACTGTGTATTTTAACTGTATAAGCAACTGTGCAACTGTTTTCTAAAGTGACTGTACCGTTTTGCATTTTCACCGGCTGTGTATGAGAGTTCCAGTTGCTCCACATCCTCACTAGCACTTGGTATTGTTTTTGTTTGTACCATTCCCATAGGTGTGTAGTGTATGTATGTGTTGAATTTTTTTATTGTGGTAAATATATGACATTAATCATGCTGTGCTACCATCACCACTATCCGGTTTCCAGACTTTCCCACCTCATTGTATGCTTTTTGGTTTTCTTTTTAATTTTATTGTGCTTTCGGTGACAGTTTATACCACAAATTAATTTCTCATTTAAAAATGTATACACAAATTGCTTTGTGACATTGGTTGCAATCCCCACAATGTGTCAGCACTTTTCCCCTTTCACTTTATGCCCCGGGTTCCCTGTGTCCATTCGTCCGGTTTTCCTGTCCCTTCCTGCCTTCTCATCGTTGCTTTTGGGCAGGTGTTGCCCATTTGGTCTTGTCTACTTGATTGATCTAAGAACCACGTTCCTCACGTGTGTTATTGTCTGTTTTATAGGCCTGTCTAATCTTTGGCTGAAAGGTGGGCTTCGGAAGTGGCTTCAATTCTGAGTTAGCAGAGCGTCCGGGGGCGATAGTCTTGGGGCTTCCTCCAGTCTTTTGTCAGACCAGTAAGTCTGGTCTTTTTGTTGTGTTTTTTGATGAACAGATGTTTTATTTTGATGAAGTCCAATTTATCTTTTTTTTTTGGTCATGGCTAGTGCATTTAATCAAATTCTAAGAAACCACCTGATCAGATATACTTGACACTATTTTATTGCTAAAAAAATGTACTCCGGAGTGACAGCAGTATTTGTCCTCAGTCTCCCCCCAGGGTCCCAGAAGTGTTTCTTTTACTGGGGAGGGAACAGAGGACCTGGGGACAGGGTGGAACGTACCATGGAGAGAGTAGGCAGTCATAGGAGATACACGCCACACATGTACAAACACACACACACACACACACACACACACACCTCACAGCCACCAACAATAACCAACAAAGGAGCAAGCATTCTGTCAGAACGTCCTTCCCTCAAAGAGGGTAAAATTCTATATCTTGACCTGTATGCTGAGAAAGGGGGAGGCCTGGCAGGCTTCTGGGGTGGAGTGAGGGGACAGTTACTTCTCCTTCTCATGGTTTCCTAGCCCTAGGTAGGGGCCAGGAGTTGAAGACTGGGGAGATTTGGGAGACACACTTACATACACACATCCACATACATCCCATGCAGCGTAGCCTCCAAGATCTGATGTCAGGGTGGAGGCTGGGGCCTCTGGACCCCTGGAGTGTGTGCACGGGGCCCCCTGAACCCCACTTTGTCCGTTTATCCAACCTACATGATCCCAGTGTCCAAAGCGCCCCACCCCCACATCAGGGCAGGGAAGGTCCCTACCAGCATTTACATGACCGATTCCTTCTCAAAGGTGTCAGCATCCCCAGCGGCGCCTAGGCAGGGTTTGAGGAGGGGGTTTCCTTCCTCAGGGGGTGCTGACAGAAGCTGAGGCAGGGGTGTCTCGCTCTTCACCTGGATCAGCTCAGGCACCAGGCTCCTTGACTCTGTGCGGTCCACGTAATTTTGGAGGAGTCCCGCACCAAAGGCGTCACCTTCCACGTTGAGGACGGTACATGACCGGTCCCTGGTTGGGGGGAGGCAGTGGGGAAGTGAGTGGGAGGGAAGGACAGGGGAGGTACCAAGGCCTGGCCCTCCTTCCTCTCTCCCTCTGAAATCTTGAAGCTCCTGTCATGCCCCCTCCCTCACAGAACCCTATATCCCACGTCTCCTACAACCAGAAGCTCATCCCGCGATCCTCCCAGGATCCCAAAGGTCCTTTCCTTCTAGAACATCAGGAATCTCTTCATCTAGAATCCCACAAGACCTGTATCTCCTCTCCTTCCCCTAGAAGCCCAAAGGGTCCCATCACACTTCCTCTGCTTTAGAACCTAAAGAGCTCCTTCTCTAGCCTCCCTGAACCCCAAATGATCCTTCTTCCAACAATATAAATGACTGGTTTCTTCTGGAACCTCAAAAAGTCATCCCTCCCCATTCCTGGGGCCACAGAGGACCCATCCATCCCTCCTTTTCTCCCTGGATTACCATCAAGCCTTTCTCTTCCCTAGAATCCTAAGGATCTCTTTTTCTTTCCTACTTATTTATTTAGCCATTTTTAAAAACAGGCCTTTCCCTCTGGGTGGATTCGAGCCGCCAACCTTTCAGTTAGTAGCTGAGTGCTTAACTGCTTCCACCACCCAAGAACTCCTGTGCAACCATTAACCAAAACCAACCCAACCTATTGCCGTCAAGTAGAGTACAACTCATGGCAACCCTATAGGACAGAGCAGAACTGCCCCACAGGGTCTCCAAGGAGCAGCTGGTGGATTCGAACTGGCGACCTTCTGGTTAGCAGCCGAACTCTTAACCACTGAGCCAAGATTTGGTCTTTTGTGACTGGCTTCTTTCACTCAGCGTGATGTTTTCAAGGTTCATCCATGTTGTGGCATATATCAGGACTTCATTCTTTTTTTATGATTGAAGAACATTCCATTGTTTAGATAAACAAAATGTGGTACATCCATTTAATATATCAACTGGTATATTTGGGTTGATGAACACTTGGGTTATTCCCACTTTTTGACTATTATAAATATTATGGATTGAATTATGTCCCCCCAGAAATGTGTGTATCAATTTGCCTGGGCCATGATTCCTAGTATTGTGTGGTTGTCCTCCATTCTGTGATTGTAATTTTATGTTAAAGAGGATTAGGTGGGATTGTATAACACTCTCACTAAGGTCACATCCCTGATACAATGTAAAGGGAGTTTCCCTAGGGTGCAGCCTGCACCACCTTTTGTCTTACAAGAGATAAAAGGAAAGGGAAGAAGCAGAGAATTGGGGACCTCATACCACCAAGAAAGCAGTGCCAGGAGCAGAGCACGTCCTTTGGACCCAGGGTCCCTGCACGGAGAAGCTCCGTCCGGGGGGAAGATTGATGAGAAGGCTGACAGAGAGAGAAAGCCTTCCCCTGGAGCTGATGCCCTGAATTTGGACTTCTAGCCTACTAGATTGTGAGAAAATAAATTTCTCTTTGTTAAAGCCATCCACTCGTGGTATTTCTGTTACAGCAGCACTAGATGAGTAAGAATAAATAATGCTGTTATGAACATCTGTGTCCAAATTTTTGTGTGGGCACGTTTTAAATTCTCTTGGGTATATACCTAGGAGTGGAATTAATGGTTCAAGGGAGTTCCTGGGTGGTAAAAACAGTTAAGTGGTTGACTACTATCTAAAAGGTTGGCGGTTCAAACCCACCAAGATGGGCCCGGAGCCTCATAAGACAGGCTTGGTGATCTACTTCTGAAGTCACAGCCTTGAAAACCCTATGGAGCAGTTCTACTCTGCACACATGGGGTTGCCATGAGTTGGAATCAACACGAAAGCAACTAACAACAACATGGTAATTCTATGCTTAACTTTTTCAGGACCTGCCTGACTGTTTTCCAATCTTTGTACTCCGAATAGCTTGATTGTGACAGCTAACAATTATGTAGCATTTACTACTGCCTGGCTGTTCTTTAAGGGAGCTGTTACCTAATTTTCATCATGACCACCCCACAAAGGAGAAACTATTCTCCCCGTTTTACAGATGGAGACACTGAGGCACAAGGAGATTTACATACTTGCCCAAAAGTCATAACAGGTAAATGGTGGCTCTGGGATTTGAACCCAGGCAGTTTGGCCTAATAGTCTAACACTACCTTTCTGAGGTTCTTCTTAGAACCCAAAGATCCCATCCCTTCCTCTTACTGGAACACCGAAGGTCCTGCCCTCTTTTCTTTAGAATGCCTTCCCTCCTTAACTCTTCTACCCAGTGGTTCTCAATGACCCTCTCATTCACCCATTTCCGCAGGGATGCCCCTGGGTCCCCCAGAAACTCCAAACCCACACTCACACCAGCCAGTCTACAGCCAGGATCAAGGAGAGGTCATGAACAGGCAAGCTGACAGCTTCGAGGATGATAGCCAGAGTGAGGACTCCTCCAGCAGGGATGCCTGCTGCCCCCACGCTGGACGCTGTGGCAGTGACCCTGGGGGTTACAGAAAACGAGAGCTCACGGAGGACCCCTGACGGATAAATTGCCAGAAGAGTACTACTCCCCAGGATGGTGTTCCCAGCCTGTGCCCATTCTCAGCCAAAGGGGTCAGGTGGGTCAGGGGGCCCAGCCTCGCCACCCCTACTCACAGGATAGTGATGATCTTCACTAAGTCCAGGGGCTGTTGGTTGAGCTGGGCAATGAATACTGCAGCCACGCACTGGAAGAGCGCGGCGCCGTCCATGTTGACCGTGGCGCCGATGGGCAGGATGAAGCGGCTGATGTGTCTGGACACGCCGTTCTTTTCCTCCACACACTTCATCATCAGAGGCAGCGTGGCAGAGCTGCGCGGGAAGGAGGGACCACCATACAGCGTTAATTCACCTAGCTGGCCCCACCTTGCCCATCACCAAGGCCCCACCCACCAGCCCAGACCACCCCTTGACCCAGGCTCCACCCCCACCAACCTAGACCCCGCCCTCACCAAACTAGACCCCACCCTCTGCTGTCCCCAAGCACTACTCACGCTCCCTCAACTCCCAATGCTCTTCCCTGAGCCAGAAGGTTCTAGGCATTCCATGGAATGCCAGGATCCCAAGTGTACAGGTCTTGGACTCGCTGGGACAGCATGGACCATCCCCCATCAAAATACATGCAAACATTTGCACCTAAGTTCTAAAATGCAAAAATTTGCACCCGAATGCAAAAATTTGCTGCTAAGTACTCACTGAGCCTCCCCGCCTCCCCTTCCACCAATAATGGACCCCGGCTACGAATCACTCTTATCTGTGGGAATAAATGGAGCTGTGGGACAGGACCTCCAGGGAAGGACATATACCGAGTAGACAGGTGGAAGGAGTCCCCAGAGGTTGGGTCCATGGTGGCACAGAGAGTACCAGGGAGGTGGAGGTGTTGGGAGGGAGGAGGTGAGTTGCTAGAGGTGTGGATCTCAGGAAGGGAGGAAGATATTTCTACGGCAGTGGTTTCCTAACTTTTTAAAGGTTGGGGGGAGATCTAGAACCTTCTGAAAAACTAATGAAAGTATGTCCCCTGAACCCAGATATAACCTCCCCCAAAAAAATTTCTGGGGTCTTCAAACACCTAACCCCCCTTCCACAATCCAAGCCCCCTAGATTAAAACTCCCACCCTGGTCCCTCTGCCCCACACACACACCTGGAAGAGGTCCCGAAGGCAGTGGCCAGCGGGGTCATGATGCCCCACAGGAATCGGTAGGGGTTCTTGCGGGTGAACAGGAAGTAGATGAGGGGCAGCACCAGGAGCCCGTGGATGGCGTGGCCCAGCAGGCAGCACAAGATGTACTTGCCCAGACTGGCGAAGAGCGTCCCCACGTCCTCCATTTCCACAATTTTGCTGGCCACCAGGAACAAGATGCCCACAGGGGCATACCTAATCACCAGGAGACAGGTTGCTGCATCTGACCAGGTACCCATTAGCATTATCATCCCTGTTTTACAGATCTATTAGATTTTGTTTAATTCAATAAGAGCAGAAAGGGACTCATAACAGGAGCTCCCTTGTGGGGTTGTGGTGGAGATTTAATCACATTCAATCACCAGGTCTAGGCTGGTGGTGGGCAGGGCCTGGGTCAGGGATGGCCTGGGCCGGGGGGGAGTAGGGGGGCACACAGCATGACTACACTTCCCAGCATCTGTTGCAGCACGAGAAGCCACCCGGGCATCACGTGCCGCAGGTATGGGTGCCACTTCCAGTCCTAGCTCATGGAAACTTCCCGAGCCATCCTCCTCTCCCGTCCCCTCCACCTGGCTTGTGGCTACACCTTGAGAGTATAGCCTGGGGTCTCCATCAACACTGAGAGAAGACTCACGAGGTTTAGACTGAATACACAAGAAAGAAACATCCACCAGGTTCACACTATTGGCGCTTTCTGGATTTCTTTGTTATAGCAGTTAGCATTTACTTGAACCAATACATTATCTTACCACATCATGAAAAATAAAGAGGCCATGGCTCATTTCTTAATAACAACCAGTGGCGCAAACAGTTTGTGCTCAACTGCTAACCTAAAGGTTGAGAGTTCAAACCCACCATGCGGCATCATGGAAGAAAGGCCTGGTGATCTGCTTTGGTAAAGACAACAGCCAAGAAAACTCTGTAACACATGGGATCACCATGAGTCAAAATCGACTTGACTCATTGGCTACTAACAAGGTATCAAGCATTGATGATTAAACTGGGCCCTTGAACGTGATTGAATCTCTGCAACAACCCCACGAGACAGCTCCTATTATGAGTCCCTTGCTGCTGTCATTGAATTAAACAAAATCTAATAGATCTGTGAAATAGAGACAACGCTAAGCTTCACAGGAATGTTGGGAGGGTTCAATGAGATGCTGAGCTGAAAGCCTACTGCACACGATTAACCAAATCAAAACCCCAAACCTGTCTCTGTCAAGTCAATTCCAACTCTTAGCAACCCTACAGGACAGAGTAGAACTTCCCCATAGGGTTTCCAACACTGTAGTCTTTACAGAAGCAGAATGCCAAATCTTTCTCCTGCGGAGTGGCTGGTGGGATCCAACCACCAACCTTTTGGTGAATAGCTGAGTGCTTAACAACTGCACAACCAGGGCTCCTTTTCTGTACACAATAAGTGATAAACTTCAGGCCCACCACTTGTCTGTCAGTTTGTTGTACTGTGGTGGCTTGTGTGTTACTGGCATGCTGGAAGCTATTTCACCAGTATTTCAAATACCAGCAGGGTCACCCATAGTGGACAGATATCAGTGGAGCGTCCAGACTATGAGAAACTAGGAAGAAAGACCTGGTGATCTACTTCTAAAAATATTGGCCAGTGAAAACCTTATGACTCATAGCAGAACACTGTCTGATATAGTGCCTGAAGATGGCACTCAAAATACAACTGGGGAAGAGCTGCCTCCTCAAAGTAGAGTTGACCTTAATGACATGGATGGAGTAAAGCTTTTGGGACCTTCATCTGCTGATGTGGCACGACTCGAAATGAGAAGAAACAGCTACAAACATCCATTAATAATCAGAACGTGGAATGTACGAAGTATGAATCTAGGAAAATTGGAAGTGGTCAAAAATGAAATGGAATGCATAAAGATTAATATCTTAGGCATTAGTGGGCTGAAATGGACTGGTTTTGGCCATTTTGAATCGGACAATCGTATGGTCTACTATGCCGGCAACGACAAATTGAAGAGGAATGGCGTCGCATTCATTGTCAAAAAGAACATTTCAAGCTCTACCCTGAGGTACAACGCTGTCAGTGATAGAATAATTTCCATACACCTACAAGGAAGACCAGTAAATATGACTATTATTCAAATTTATGTACCAGATACCAATGCCAAAGATGAAGAATTTGACAATGTTTACCAATTTCTGCAGTTTGAAATTGATCAAGCATGCAATCAAGATGCATTGATAATTACTGGTGATTGGAATGAGAAAGTTGGAAACGAAGAAGGATCGGTAGTTGGCAAATACGGCCTTGGTAACAGAAATGACGCCAGAGATCGCATGATAGAATTCTGCAAGACCAACGACTTCTTCATTGCAAATACCTTTTTTCAACAACATAAATGGCGACCATACACGTGGACCTTGCCAGATAGAATACACAGGTATCAAATCGACTATATATTTGGAAAGAGATGATGGAGAAGCCCAATATCATCAGTAAGAACAAGGCCAGGGGCCAACTGTGGAACAAACCATCAATTGTTCCTATGCAAGTTCAAGTTGAAGCTGAAGAAAATTAGAACAAGTCCACGAGAACCAAAGTACCACCTTGAGTATATCCCACCTGAACTTGGAGACCATCTCAAGAATAGATCTGATGCATGGAGTACTAACGACTGAAGACCAGACAGGTTGTGGGGTGATATCAAGAACATCATACATGAAGAAAGCAAAAGGTCATTAAAAAGACAGGAAGGAAAAAAAAGACCAAAATGGATGTCAGAAGAGACTCTGAAACTTGCTCTTGAACATAGAGTAGCTAAAGCAAAAGGAAGAAATGATCGGGTAAAAGAGCTGAACAGAAGATTTTAAAGACCAGCTCGAGAGACAAAGAGAAGTATTATAATAAAATATGCAAAGACCTAGAGATAGAAAACCAAAAGGGAAGAACATGCTCGATGTTTCTCAAGCTGAAAGAATTGAATAAAAAATCCAGCCTCGACTTGCAATATTGAAGGATTCTATGGGTAAAATATTGAACCACGCAGGAAGCATAAAAAGAAGATGGAAGGAAAACAGTCTCTATACCAAAAAGAATTGGTCCACATTCAACCATTTCAGGAGGTAGCATATGATCAAGAACCGATGGTATTGAAGGAAGGAGTCCAAGCTGCACTAAAGGCACTGGTGAAAAACAAGGCTCCAGGAATCACGGAATACCAACTGAGATGGTTCAACAACTGGATGCAGCACTGGAGGCACTCACTCGTCTATGCCAAGAAATTTGAAAGACAACTACCTGGCCAACTGACTGGAAGAGATCCATGTTTGTGCCCATTCCAAAGAAAGGTGATCAACAGAACACGGAAATTATTGAACAATATCATTAATATCACACACAAGTAAAATTTTGCTGAAGAGCATTCAAAAATGGTTGCAGAAGTACATCGACAGGGAACTGGCAGAAAGTCAAGCTGGATTCAGAAGAGGATGTGGAACAAGGGATAGCATTTCTGATGTCAGATGGATCTTAGCTGAAAGCAGAGAACACCAGAAAGATGTTTACCTGTGTTTTATGCAAAGGCATTCGACTGTGTGGGTCATAACAAATTATGGATAACATTGCAAAGAATGGGAATTCCAGAACACTTAATTGTGCTCATGAGGAACCTGTACATAGACCAATAGGCAGTCATTCGAACAGAGCAAGGGGATAATGTGTGGTTTAAAATCAAGAAAGGTGTTTCAGGGTTGCATCCTTTCACCACACTTACTCAATCTGTATGCTGAGCAAACAATCCAAAAAGCTGGACTATCTGAAGAAGGATGTGACATCATGATTGGTGGAAGACTTTATTAACCTACAACATGCAGATGACACAACATTGTTTGCTGAAAGTGAAGAGGACTTGAAGCACTTACTGATGAAGATCAAAGATTACAGACTTCAGGATGAATTATACCTAACATAAAAAAAAAAAATCCTCACAGCTGGACCAATAAGCAACATCATGATAAACAGAGAGGAGATTAAAGTTAAGGATTTCCTTTTACTTGGATCCAAAATCAATGCCCACGGGAGCGTAGCAGTCAAGAAATCAAAGGACACATTGCAGTGGGCAAATCTGCTGCAAAAGACCTCTTTAAAGTGTTGAAAAGCAAAGATGTCACTTTGAAGACTAAGGTGCACCTGACCCAAGCCATGATATTTTTAGTCACCTCATATGCATGCGAAAGCTGGACAATAAATAAGGAAGACCGAAGAAGAATTGATGCCTTTGAATTATGGTGCTGAAGAAGAATATTGAATATACCATGGACTGCCAGAAGAACCAACAAGTCTGTCTTGGAAGAAATACAGCCAGAGTGCTCCTTGGAAGCAAGGATGGTGAGACTTCATCTCACATACTTTGGACATGTTACCAGGAGGGACCAATCCCTGGAGAGGGACATCATGCTTGGTAAAGTAGGGGGTCAGTGAAAAGGTGGAAGACCCTCAACAAGATGGACTGACACAGTGGCTGCAAAAATAGGCTCAAACGTAGCAATGCTTGTGACGATGGCACAGGACCAGGAGTACTTCGTTTTGTTGTACATAGGGTCGCTATGAGTTGGAACCAACTCAAGGGCACCTAACAACAACAAAACTTCAGGCAGGATTACTTTTCCTGGAGTGAAGATCCCAAGGGCATTGGCCTCCTAGCCAGGAGGCCTCCCCAGACAACCTTCTGACTGCTCAATTGTCATTGTGAATGGAATAGTGTGCCCCCAAAAATTCATGTCCACCATAACCACAGAATGTGACCTTATTTGGAAATAGGGTCTTTGCAGATGCCATTAATTAAGGATAGCAAGACAAGATCATGTTGGGTTTAGGGTGAGCCCCATATCTAGTGACTGGTATCCTTATAAGAAAAGGGCACATGGAATGTGTCGCTAATTGCTCCCATGAACGACTGTCTTCTCTACCATGAGGCAGAAGTGGATGGTGCCCGGCTACCACTACTCAGTGTCATGGTTTGAACTATGTCCCCCAAAAATGTGTGTATCAATTTGGCTAGGCCATGATTCCCAGTGTTGTGTGACAGTCCACCATTTTGTTATCTGATGTGATTTTTCTATGTGTTGTAAATCCTATCTCTACGATGTTGATGAGATGGGATTAGTGGCAGTTATGTTAAAGATGCAAGATTAAATCTACAAGATTAGATTGTGTCTTAAACCAATCTTTTGAGATATACAAGGAAGAAGCAAGCAGAGAGATAAGAGGGATCTCATACCACCAAGAAAGCAGCACCAGGAGCACAGTGCACAGAGAAGCTCCTAGACCACAGGAAGATTGATGATAAGGACCTTCCTCAAGAGCTGACAGAGAAAGCCGTCCCCTGGACCTGATGCCCTGAATTTGGACTTCTAGCTTACTAGACTGTGAGAGAACAAATTTCTCTTTATTAAAACCATCCACTTATGGTAATTCTGTTATAGCAGCACTAGATAACTAAGACACTATCTAATCTTGTAGACCTCATCAGTATAACTGCTGCTAATCCATCTTATTATATCACAGTGATAAGAGTTTACAACAAAGGGAAATCATATCCAATTACAAAATGGTACACAATCATACAATACTGGGAATCATGACCCAGCCAAGTGGACAGATATTTTTGGGGACACAATTCAAACCATGACATTCCACCCTTTGGCCCCCCAAAATTCATGTCTTTGCAACAGGCAAAACATATTCACCCCATCATATCATAGCAAAAGTCTTAATTCTAAGTCTAAAATCTAAAAATTCTCTTCATCTGTGAAATCTAAGATACAAGTTATCTGCTTCCAAAGGTACAATGGCAGAACAGACACAAGCTAGACATTTCCATTACAAATGGGAGAAACTAGAGGAAAAGAAGGGATAACAGGCACCAAGTAAGTCAGCAGAACACATTACATTAGCTCTCAAGGCTTGAAAATAATCCTCTGTTCTCTGAGACCGTTCACACGATAGCCCTGCCCTCTAGACTCTAGGTATTGGACACAGTCTCCAGATTCTGAGTGGAAGCCCCTCGGCCCTGCGCTTCAGCTCTGCCTTCCAGGCCCGCTGGGGCGGCAACTCTGGTCATGATTGCCAGTATTTTATGATTGTGTACCATTCTGTAGTCTGACGTGATTTCTCTGTGTTGTAAACTCTGTCACTATGATGTAATAAGATGGATTAGTGGCAGTTACACTGATGAGGTCTACAAGATTAGATAATGTCTTAAGTCAATCTCTTTTGAGATATAAAAGAGAGAAGCGAACGGAGACACATGGGAACCAAGAAAGCAGCACTGGGAGCAAAGTGCATCCTTTGGACCTAAGGTCCCTGCAGTGAGATGCTCCCAGACCAAGGGAAGACTGTTGCATCACAAGGACCTTCCTCCAGAGCCGACAGACAGAGAAAGCCTTCCCCTGGAGCTGATGCCTTGAATTTGGACTTGTAGCCTACCGGACTGTGAGAGAATAAATTTCTCTTTGTTAAAGCCATCCACTTGTGGTATTTCTGTTAGAGCAGCGCTAGATGACTAAGACAGAATTTGGCACTGGGAGCGGGTGCTGCTCTAACAAAGACTTAAATGTGGAAGTGATTTTGAAACTGTGACTGGATAGAGGCTGGAAGAGTTTTAAAGTGCTTAACAGTAAAAGCCTAGATTGCCTTGAAGAGACTGTTGGTGGAATTATGGACGTCAAACACAATTCTGGTGAGGACTCAGAAGGAAATGAAGAGAGCTATTACCCTGGAGACAATGCAGATGGCGAGAAGCAGCATTAGAGAGCCGGCAGCAGCAGAAGCAGGCGACCAGCTTGAGACAGTGCTGGAGCCGACCCACAGAGCAAGACAGCTGCGTGCCTTTGGCAGGACGCTTCCTGGTAGAGTGGGGTGCTTCCGAGCACTTATCAGTGGAGCTAGGCTTGCCAATCCATGCAGCAAGAGAGCTGAGTGCCTCTGGCCGAAGTTTACTGGAAGAGTGAGGTGCCTCCAGGCACTTATCGGTGCAGCTAAAGAGCTTTGGAACACTTGCCCAAGCAGCGCAGATGTGGGCAGTGAGGCCGCAGGGGCTGAGAGGCCAAGGAACTAGGAAGCAGAAGCTGAAGAGACAAGGAACACAGGAAGCAGAGCTGTCTCAGTCTCACAGGGTGAAGTCGCCACTCAGATAGACCAGGAGAATGGGGCCACTCAAAGCCAAGGGAGCAGAGTTGCTGTCCCAGTGGGCCTGGAAGGTGGAGCTGAAGCCCAGGGCCGAGGGGCCTACACTCAGAATCTGGAGTGTGGCCCATACCTAGAGTTTGGAGGGCAGGGCAATTGTGTAAATGGTCTCAGAGAACAGAGGATTATTTTCAAGCCTTGAAGGCTCATGTAATGTGTTCTGCTGATGTGCTTGGTGCCTGTTATCCCTTCTTTCCCACCAATGTCTCCCATTTGTAACAGAAATGTCTTCCTTGTACCTGTTCCACCATTGTACTGTGGAAGCAGATAACTTGTATTCTAGATTTCACAGATGAAGAAGTTTTGGATTTTGGACTTGGAGTTGAATTAAGACTTTTGCTATGATATGATGGGGTGAATGTGTTTTACATGTGGCAAGGACATGAATTTGGGGGGCAAAAGGGTGGAATGTCATGGTTTGAACTGTGTCCCCCAAAAATATGTGTATCAATTTGGCTAGGCCATGATTCTCAGTGTTGTGTAATTTGTCCACCCTTTTGTCATCTGATGTGATTTTCCTGTGTGTTGTAAATCCTACCTCTATGATGTTTATCAGGTGGGATTAGTGGCAGTTATGTTAAAGAGGGAAGACTCAATCTACAAGATTAGATTGTATCTTAAGCCAATCTCTTTTGAGATATAAAAGAGAGAAGGGAGCAGAGAGACATGGCGACATCATACTACCAAGAAACAAGAGCCAGGAGAATAGCACATCCTTTGGACCTGGGGTCCCTACGCTGAGAAGCTCCTCGACCAGGGGAAGATTGATGATAAGGACCTTCCTCCAGAGCCGACAGAAACAGAAAGCCTCCCCCTGGCGCTGACGCCCTGAATTTGGACTTGTAGCCAACTAGACTGTGAGAGAATAAATTTCTCTTTGTTAAAGCCATCCACTTGTGATATTTCTGTTACAGCAGCACTAGCTGACTAAGACACTCAACATTTTGATCAGAGATTCTATAGCAGAACCATGATCAGAAGGGGGAAAATGCAAAATAGAATTTCAGATTGTCATGGACTCCAGACTTTCTGGAGCCGAGTGGGCTGGATGAACCCCTGAAAGTATTGCTCTGAGGTAATCTTTAAACCTTAAACCAAATATATCCCCTGAAGTCTTTTTGAAACCAAACAACAGTTTAGCTCTACTAGCAAATGTCTGCCTTGAGCATTATGCTTTTTTAAGAACTGTCTATATGGGATCAAAGTGACAATAGCAATTCATATGATCAGATAGGATCCTTAGGGGGCAGTGAGTTTATGTGAATGGGGGAAGAACAACTCAGAAAAGGAGGGTAAGAATGGTTGCAGAACTCAAAGAATGTAATCAATGTCACTGAATTGTATGTGTAGAAATGGTTGAATTTGTGCATGTTTTCCTGCATATACTCCCAACAACAACAAAGCAAAATTTAAAAAAAAAAAAAAAGGAGAGGACACAGAGAGACACAGAGAAGAAGGTAATGGGAAGACAGTGGCAGAGATTGCAGTGATGCATCCACAAGCCAAGGAATGCCAAGGGTTGCCAGCAGCCACCAGAAACTAGGAGACAGGCATGGAACAGATTCTTCCCCAGAGCCTCCAAAAGAAAACAACCCTGCCAACATCCTAATTTCAGACTTCCGGCCTCCTGAAATAGGACAGAATAAATTTCTGTTGTTTTGAGCCACATAGTTTGTGGTATTTTGTTATGGCAGTTACAGGAAACTAATACAGCTATTACCATGGATAATTATCTTCCAAATACCCATTCTCCTCTTTAGTAACAGAAGAAAGTCAACATTTCCCAGCCGCCTGTGCAATTAGTTTTCGGCCAGTGGGATGTACGTACAAGTTACGTACGAAGTGTTCAGTAAATATTAGCTATTATTGTTTACTTAGGTGTGCTATAGGCCAGGCACTGTCCCAAGAACTTTACACATATTAACTCATTTGTGCCTGACTATAATTGCAGTTCAGTGGTAGAATTCTCGCCCTCCATGCGGGAGACCTGGGTTCAATTCCCAGCCAACACACTTAATGCGCAGCCACCACCCGTCTGTCAGTGGAGGCTTGTGTGTTGCTATGATGCTGGACTGGTTTCAGTGGAGCTTTCAGACTAAGACAGACTAGGAAGAAAGGCCTGGCAATCTACTTCCAAAAATCAGCCAATGAAAACCCTATGGGTCACAATGATCCTCAAATGATCATGGGGATGGTGCAGGACTGGGCAATGTTACATTCTGTTGTGCATGGGGTTGCCGTGAGTCAGGGGCTAACTGGATGACAAAGCTAACACCATAATCCTTTGAGGATGGTACTGTCTACCCCAGAGGGGACACTGAGGCACAGAGAAGGTAAGGCACTTGCCTGAGGCCACACAGTCAGGAAATAGTAGATCTGGATTTGAATCTAGGCCATCTGGCTCCAGGGAGCAGATGGAGGGTCCCCCACCCTGCACAGATGCATCCTGCCTACCTCCAGCCAGCCCCCATCCTGTGCCCCCAGCCCTTCTCCCGCCACTTACCACATGATCCAGGAGACCAGCACCATAGTGGCATCATTGAAGGAGTTGAAGAAGTTGATAAGTAGCTCCCCCTCGGGCCCCAGCTTCCGCAGGGCCACGCCAAAGACAATGGCAAACACTACCAGGCCCAGGATGTTCATTCCTTCCACCTCACCCCCCAGGGGCACCTGCGGGCAGGAGCAAATGGAGGGGAGGGGAATTCAGTCAACCTGCACGACCTGCACAGACACTGCCAGTGAGGGCCTGTCCTGGGAACTGCTGGGACCCAGCAGTGACAAGACAGCTCCTCAGACCCCACCTGCTCCAAGCTTACAGTCCAGGTCCAAGGATGAGAGGGAACAGTCAGCAGGGGCAAGCCGGAGTGGGCAGGGCTGGGGTGGGGGACCCAGGGGAGCATGGGAATTGAGAAAGGGGGACAGCCTGGGGGGAGTCAGGGAGGTCTTCCTAGAGGAGGGAGTATCAGAGCTGACACCTGTAGGGCAGGAAGGTGAACCAGTAAAGAGGTGGGGTAGAAGGTTCTAGAAAGAATAAACAGAATGGCTTGGAAATGAGAGCAACGTGGGCATTCTAAGAATGGAACGAAATCCACTGTGTCTGGAGTGGAATGAGCTGGAAGAGAGGGTCACAAGATGAGGCCGGGCAGGCAGGCAGGGGTCCGACCTCACAGGGCCTCATGAACTGTGGCGAGGAGCCTGGGCTTTCTTTCTCCCGAGGACACTAGGGAGCCATGGCAGAGATTTGAGGCACAGGGGAGGCAAGGTCGGATCTGCACTTTAGAAAAGACCCCTCTGATGGGTCCCTGGGTGGCACAAACGGTTAAGCACTTGACTACTAGCAGAAACGTTGGCAGTTCAAACCCACCCTGGTGCCTCAGAAGAAAAGTCTGGTGATATGCTTCCAAGAGGTCACTGCCTTGAAAACCCTATGGAGCAATTCTGCTCTGCACGTATGGGGTCCCCATGAGTCAGGATCAACCTGACGGCTCCCAACAACAGTGGTGTGCCATCGAATCAATTCTGACTCATGGCGACCCAATGTGACAGAGTAGAGCTGCCCCATAGAGTTTCCTAGACTGTAATCTTTACGGGGTTTGAACCCACCAACCCCTCCATGGAAGAAAGATGTGGCAGTCTGCTTCCGTAAAGATTACAGTCTTGGAAATCCTATGGGGCTGTTCTACTCTGTCCTATAGGGTCGCTATGAGTTGGAATTGACTTGATGGCAACAAGTAATCTTTACGGAAATAGATCATCAGATCTTTTCTCCCTCGGAGCCCCTGGGTGGGTTCAAACCACAAACCGCAGCTGAGCGCTTAACCACTGCACCACCAGCACTCCTGCCAACAATAGCCCTATACAAACAAAGTGCCACGGTATCTTCAGTAGAAAGACTTCTTTGGCTGCCGGGGTGAGGGTGGATGGGAGGGGGGGGACTGGGGCAGGACACCAGGGAGGAGGAGAGGGAATAAGAGAGAAAGAAGGAAAGGAGAAGAAGGGGTAAGGTACAGAGATGTTCAAATGGCAGGAAAAAAGAAAAAACAGAAACCAGGGAGGGACCACGGAGACTTTAACTCAAATTCCACACCAAATTTTAGAAGACCAAGAGTGGAGACAAAGGCTGGGGGTAGGCGGAAAAACCCAAAACCAAACCCAACTCATGGCAACCCCATGTATTACAGAGTAGAACTGCTCCATGGGATTTTCTTGGCTGGGATCTTTACAGAAGCAGATCGCCAGGCCTTTCTTCTGCGGCACCGCTGGGTGGGTTCAAACTGCCAACCTTTAGGTTAGTAATGGAGTGCAAACTGTTTGTACCACTCACAGACCTCAGGGGAGGGGTAGGGGAACAAAATAGAACCAGAGCAATGGACCAACAGGTGGGGCCCCCACCACCCTTGCCCACCTCTCACCTTTACCAATGTTTCGTTCTGGTCTCCGGCGACTTTTCTTATTTCATAGTGGGTGGCATACTGCAGGAGGGGTTTGGAAGAGTGAGTTTGAATTATCACAGATGCTCCCTCACCCTGGTACTGGTGCCAACCATGGCCAAAGCCTGCCCTCCTGCCCTAAGAATCCTTAAACACGGTCTCATTTCATCCTGCTGGCAACCCCACTGAAGTAGGACTATTAATGCCCCCATTTTCCAGAGGTGGAAACCGAGGCTCAGAGAGGTCAAGACACTTGCCTAGGGTCACACAGCTAGAATGAGATCCCAGAAGGGGTTCTGAGCCTGTATTCTCAGTTCTTGATAAGAAGGGGCCTGGATGGGTTTCAGAAGTCACCCAAGAACCCTCCAATATTGCCTGTAAGCATGTGGGCACCTGCGTGTTCCCAGGCACCACCCCAAATCAGGCAGCAAGGGCTGCAATTGGCTATCTCCCTCCCTGGCCACCCCCAACCCCTCGGGACACCCCTGAGGACTCACTGAGCGGAAGGCTGCGGACACCAGGTTGGAGGGGAAGATATTTCTGTAGAGATAGACACATTGGGGGTTATTAGACACTGTAGGGGGTAGGGCAGTAGAGCAGGGATGCTTAGGGGAGCTGGACTGACCCTTTAGCAGATGGTGGAAACCTTCGAGGCCCTGTTTACACACAGATGTGGCCCCCAGCCTGCCTCAGCCAGGGTCTGGTCAGGCCAAGTTGGATCTGGGTCTGTACCCTGGCCCTGAGGGATTGTGGCTGGCAGTGAGGATTACTGGCTTCCCAAGGCAGGCTGGATCAGGGTCACCCAGGGCCTCAGCTCCACCTCGAGAGGCAAACTTAATACCCTACACATCTTTCATCAGCCACTTCCTTCTGGAGAGCTGAGAGCTGGAGGCTGGGAGGACTGAAGAGGGCTGGTCCCTGGGGACTGGAAGTGAGTTGGAGGGTGTGGTGGCAGTGAGAGGCAGGGAGAAAGTAACAGGGGTGGCTTTGTGCGTCGTGAGTGTCCACGTATGTCTATGTGGCCATTCTTGTGTGACGGTATCCAGCAATGGCCTCATGTGTCTCCAGGTGAGATTGACAGATAACACATTTATAGCACGCTCTGTGTGCCAGGCATTGCAGTAAGCGCTTTATGTAAACTGACTCATTTAACAAACTTGGCTGCCACCTGAGAGGTTGGAGGTTCGAGTCCACCCAGAGGTGCCTTAGAAGAAAGGCCAGGTGATTAATTTCTGAAAAATCAGCCACTGAAAAGCCTATGGAACGCAGCTCTACTCTGACACACACGGGGTCCCCGTGAGTTGGGGGCCACAGCAGCCCTTTGAGAGAAAAACCAAAGAAAACCAAACCCGTTGCCATTGTGTCGACTCTGACTCATATAACCCTGCAGGACACAGTAGAACAGCCCCAGAGTTTCCAAGGAGCGGCTGGTGAATTCGAACTGCCGACCTTTTGGTTAGCAGCCGAGCTTTTAACCACTGTACCGCTTTGGAGATAAGCACTGTTATTTCCATTTTACAAATGAAAAACGGAGGCACCGAAAGGTGAAGAAACTTGTCCAGCTAGAAGGGGTAGGGCTGGGATTTGTACCCAGCCAGGCTGGCTCCATAGTCCTAATCACTACCCGTACTACTTCTCACCAGTGAGGTGGGCGTACCACTATTTCTGTGGGTCAGTATACACTTTGTCAGGTGTTGGCATCCAGCTGGCCGTGCAGGTTAGCAATCAGGTGTGTGGGACAGCGTTGGTGTGTGACCAGGCCATGTGCCACAGTAGCGGACAACTACGTGCGAACATATTGGTGTGTAGACTCGCAGGAGTGTGTGTGTGTGTGTGTGTGTGTGTGTGTTATGTGCTTGAGCGTGTGGTTAGGCATTGGTGTGATCGGTGAGGTCATCAAGTGGCTGTCTGTCCTAACGGGGTGTGAGTACACACTGGTATGTGTGTGATAGCTGGTGTCAAGGCCACGCAGCTGTTACAGCCCAGACCAAATGTTTCTGTGTACCTGTGCCCAGCTGTGTGTCACTTGGTTGTAAGCTTGTGTGTCTGTCTCCAGCTGTGTGTGACTGGGTTATAAGACTGTGCAGCTGGGTAAGATGTTACAGCTGTGGCTGAGTGTCTCTGTGTCTGCGTCCAGCTGTATCTGGCTGTGTCACTTTGTTAAGGTTGTGGGGTTATGTGAGAAGTCACAGCTCTTTTGCAGCTCTTTTGGAACGCAGGGGAAGCCTGTGTGTAAACAACCACGAAGAGGGTGTGCCCATCCTTAGGTAGCCCTTACCCACCCAGGCCGGGGCTGGGCGAGGACCCAGCTAATCTTCCCCAGCCAGGAGGTACCTAGGCAGCTTCAAGACACCAAGTCTCTCCCAGTCATCTCAGCATGTGCTGCTGCTCCAGAGGCCAGGGTCCCTGGCTCCATGACTCATCATTTCCTTCCCACCAGCTCGCCCCCACATCCAGGAAGTTCCCCACCTGGAGACACTGAGTCAGCAGACCACAGAAGGCAGGGCCATGTGGACCCAGTTGTCTGCCTCTTCAAAAGAGGGGATGGCCGTGATGGAGCGGGGGTGGAAAGAGCCCAGAGAAGGCAAAGGATCTGCCATTTCTAACTGGTCCCCTTCTAGACAGCCTACTGCCGGGGTGGGGGTGGGAAGAAATGGGGTGAAAAGGCAGCAGCCACAGCAGTGGAGGGATTGGCCAGGACGGTAAAAAGGGGAAGCCTATAAGGGGGAAGCCCCCGGGGCCCCACCTAACCGGGTCAGGAAGGGGAGTTGAGGAAAGAACTTGAGGTGTAGGGTGACATGTGGACAGGGAGCAGGGACATGTGTCAGGGAGCCCTGGGGATAGGAGGAGGGCCTGGAAGGGGTTTGCTCACATCTCGGGTCCTCCAGGGGCTCCCTACTCTGGAGTCCCAAGTGCTCTGACCCTGGCTGCAAATCTTTATCCAGAGCCCCATCCTGGGGCCCTTGCGTGTCCAAAGATTCCTTCCCAAGAAGTTTCCCTCAGGGTCCCTCCCTCTCATAGGGTCCCTCCTACGTCCCCCAAAGACCCCCAAGCACTACTCTCTTCCTTTTCCCTCTATGAGTCCTCTTTGCCTATCACACTCACGTGGAGTCCCTCTCATGCACCCAGGCCCCAAATTTAGAAGTCCCTTTCCCTGGGAGTCTGTCCTCACCCTCTGTACCCCACCCTCACAGGGCCAGAGCCCCACACCCGCCCTGTCTGCCCCAGGACCTGGGGATGTCTCTGCTCAGGGGGACCCAAAGCCCCCCTCCTGTCCACGTGGCCCCTCCCCCAGCGAGTAGCGGGGTCTGACCTCACAAGATCCAGGAAGGAATCCAGCACTTCCTTGCTGGGGGCCGGTTTGCCATCGCCCAGGACTCCGACCGAGGCGTTGATGGCGGCGAAGGCAGCACCCGGCTGCAGCGCCAGCGCCAAGCCCACGCCGAGCGCCGAAGAGAGCAGTGTGGTGACCAGAAAAAAGAGCAGCGCCCAGGCGCCCAGGCGGCCAAGAGCGCTCGGGTCCAGGCTGGCAGCGCCGCCGACCAGGCTGCACACCACTAGAGGCAGGATAATCATCCTCAGCAGGCGCAGCAGCAGCTCGCCCGGGAAGGCGAAGGCCGCCAGGCGCGCGGGGCCCAGGGCGAGCGCGCCGCCGGCCCCTGACACCCCTAGCCCAAGCGCCACGCCTGCCGCCACAGCCACCACCGTCAGCAGCACCAGCAAATTGGCGCGAAGGCAGCGGCGCACCTGCGCCCGGGAACTGCAGCAGCCGCCGGCCGCCGAGTCTTGATCCTCCACAGGAATCAACGTCGAGACACCGTTCGCCTTGGTCTCCCCTGTCGCCGCGAACCCTTTGGGGTCGCCCCTGGGAGGATCGGCCACCATGATGGGAAGCACCGGGGTTCCTTGGCGCCTAGAGGCTGGGAGCGCTTGGGGCTCCTTCCCAGGACGCCGAGTTTCCTTAGGACTGAGAGTTGAGTCACAATGTCTGCAGGCTGGAACTTTGGAGTGGATGGTTTTCTTAGAGCTGGGATTTCACAGCTCCAGGTTCCTTGGCTCTTGGAAACTGGAGTGTCTGGGCTCCCCAGGCTGGGCGCTGAGGTTCCTCTGCTCCTCCAAATTGGGGAGCGAAGTGTCAGGCGTCCGAAAGCTGGGAGTTGAGAGCGCCTGGGTTTCTTGCCCCTGCTTGTTGGAAATACAAGAGTTCCTCAGGCTGGGACCTGGGTCCTAGGTCCAGGTGGCAGAGGTTTGCAGAAGGCTAGGTCCTGGTAGCGCAGATCCGGGGCGCTTGGATCCGGGAGGCTGGGACCCAGGGCACCTGGGTCTGAAACCGAAAGCTGGGGCTCCTGGGTCTGAGAGCCGGGAAACGGAGCGCCAGGAAGAGAGGACCCAGGCTCTTGGGTCCGAGAGGGGTGATCCAGGCCCCTGGGTGCGGAAGGCGGCGGTCCGCCGTCCAGGGAGGTAGCAGCTGCTATAGGAGATGGAACCTCCCAGGAGCGCCGCGTGGCTTTGAGCCCGACTGGCGGAAGCCGGAGGGATTAAGGGAAGGGGCGGGGCCCTCCGGCGAGCAAGGGGCGGGGCCCTCCGGCGAGCAAGGGGCGGGGCCCTCCGGCGAGCAAGGGGCGGGGCCCTCCGGCGAG